CCTTGAAATGGCTTTAATCAGTCTTCAGACCTTTCATTTTTTAAAATCTATTCCCTTCTCCCCGCCCATCTCAAGACTTGAAATAAAATGATTTTTCCAGAAACGAATGACAGGCGGCAAGGGTGACGATTAATAACCCCGGAGCCCATGCCGCCACACCTTCCCTATTTAAAGTGAAAAATTACCTCCCCCAACCCCCCAGGCTTTATTAAAAAGAGGCTCGAAAGGGCGGCAGCTGATGGCATGCAGCCCTTCATCGCGCTGCTTCTGAAGCCTGCGTGCTTCGGAGTCGATGCTGCTGGCTGAGTAGCTTGGGTGATGAACGGAGACTGTGCACTCCTCGGGCCCCACACTTGTGACTTTGAACCCCCGCATGTGCAGAGGAAGGAGATTGCCTGGGAAGGGAATGTGGTGGGGGTGGTGGGCTTTCTTCTCTCTTGACTTTTTACTCTGAAGAAATCCCTCAAGAGGGTAACTACCTGAACGCAGTGGAGTGTCGTCTGTCTGTCTGTTTGTCAGTCAGTCTTTGGAGGAGCAGCGGGCTGTGGGAAGTATTGGGTCCCCACCCAGCAGCAGGAAACTGTGTGGTAAGTGGGGAAAGAAAGGCATAGATCTCCATCTACAGAGGGATTCTTTCTGATCAAGTCCTACACTCATCCCAGTCTTGACTGAATAGGTCAGTGACCCCTACCCTCCTTACAGTGAGACAGAGAAACTGATCCCCTAACATCTAGCCACATAGCCAGGAATGACCTCGAACCCCTGATCCTGCTCCGTGCAATTTCAGGTAGACACTGTGTGGCAGGGTTTTTTTTTTTTTTTTTTTTTTTTTTTTTTTTTTTTTTTTTTTTTTTTTTTTTTTTTTTTTTTTTTTTTTCTTGTTTCTTTCTGAGACAGGAGCTGTCTATGTAGCCCTGACAGGCCTGGAACTCACAGAGATCCGCCTGCCTCTGTGCCGGGATTAAAGGTGTGTGCCACCACGCCTGGCCTGCTATGCCAGTTCTGATGACTTTCCCTCAGGGTTTAGCACACGTGGATCCTCCCCCTGGGGGTGCCGCTAGGGAGGTGGGCGCTCTAACAGATCAGCACAAGTCCACACACTCACAGACCCCAGGGTTTGGAGCCAACGAACAAAGCACGGGCTCCAACCTCTCTGGGGGTCGGACCCCTTCCTCCCCTGGATCTGGTGGGTGACCCTTAGTATTCTCGCACCCCTTGGCTTGTTGCCGCACACCACCAGCCTCCTCCTCCTGCTTCACTTCGCTCCTGGTGTTGTCTGTATTGGGACTATGTGTCAGTGTGTAGCCCAGGGGACCTGGAACTTGTGATCTTCCTGCCTCGGCTCCCTCCCACCAAGCTTGTCTCCTCTCCTCTTTATACAACTACGGCCGATTAGGTCTGACCTTTTCCAGCACAAGCTCATCTCCATTCATCTGCAAGGGCTTTACCTGAAAATAGAGTGTTGGGTAAAGATGCCAACCTGTGGCATCGCTGGGCCATTTTGCTCCCAACACTGCCCTGAGGTGAAAGCAAGGCCATATTGTTGCACCCTGAAGGTCTTTGTCGTCCAGTCTGCTCTGCGTTGTGCTGTCCACGTGTCAAGCAAGGGGAAATGACCGCATGTCTGCGTGTGGATCTTTGCATTTGTCTAACACAGCTTTTATCTGAGAACCGAGTCCATGTTCATTACTGCGGGCTGTCTTTGACACTGGCTCTGTTCTTTTTGATAAACTTCTGGACTTAAAAAATAGCCAACACAACAACAAAGCAGGCTTCCCAGCTCCCAGACCTCTGTCCCCACTGGTTCCTCAGCCTGGGGCACTATGCTTTACTGTTGGCGTGGTGACTCTTTTAGTTCTTGCCAGAGGACATGTGGCCTCCTCAGGGGGGCATTGTAATTGGACTTTTCATCTGGACTGTCAGCTCCCCAATAGAGATGTAGAGATTTATTATTAGTTATGAAAGCTCGGCTGATATCTTAGGCTTGTTTCTAACTAGCCCTTTTAACTTAAATTAACCTGTATCTTTTAAACTACACTATTTTATTTATTATGTATACAATATTCTGTCTGCGTGTATGTCTGCAGGCCAGAAGAGGGCACAAGACCTCATTACAGATGGTTGTGAGCCACCATGTGGTTGCTGGGAATTGAACTCAGGACCTTTGGAAGAGCAGGCAATGCTCTTAACCGCTGAGCCATCTCTCCAGCCCCTAAACTACATTCTCTTACATGGCTCTCTTACTTTTACTCTGTATTGTCCATGCTGCTTGCTTTGCCTCTCCTGGTGTCTCTGCCTTTCCTCTTCCCAGAGTCCTTTGTGCTTAGAAATCCTGCCTAGCTATTGGCCGTTCAGTTTATTAAACCAATCAGAGTGACACATCTTCACAGTGTGCAGAAAGATTATTCCACAACAGGGCATCCTGAGGCAGCCTTCTCCATTTCTCTGTTCCCCTCTCTCCTCTGACTCTCCTTTTCCTTCCTTCCTTCCTTCCTTCCTTCCTTCCTTCCTTCCTTCCTTCCTTCCTTCCTTCCTCCCTCCCTCCCTCCCTCCCTCCCTCCCTCCCTCCCTCCCTCCCATCCTTTCTTCCCCTTCCTGTTTCTGTGGTTTTGGGGATCAAACCCAGGGCCTCAAACATCCTAGGCAAGAACACTACCACTGAGTCTCATCCCAAGCCCCCCAGTTTCTTAACTGAACTGTTTGCTTTTGTTTTGGTGATCCAGTACAGGGAGTTGCTGTGTCACTGGGGCTGACTGAAGATTGTCATTGGGGTATATGTGGATCCACATACAGTTGTAAGGAAAGATCACAGGGGTACCTGAAAGGCTTCTCTCAGTTTCTCTTAATAGTCACATCTTGCTAAAATGATAGAATCACAGCCAGGGTATTGATACAGATACAGTGCAGTGATCTTGCCCAGATGTGTCCAGCGTTTTGTGTATGCATGCACATGTGTTTGAGGATGAGCATGAATTCGGATCTGTATAATGTCCCACAGCTGGACACATGTGTCTACACCATTGTCAAAATAATGAATGACATGCTTCTCTTGGGTTACTATTTTATAGCTACATCCACTTCCTCCCATCCCCTCATCCCCCACCCCTGACATCTGCCAATCATGTCTAAGATGTTGTTCTCTGTGAGGTTGTGGAAATGGAGTCTGAGAGTGAGCCCTTTGGCGTTAGTTCACTTGTACTCTCTGGAGACCGCCTGAGCTCTGTGCGTGGGTACTCGGCTCCCTCAGGTAGCAGTGCTGTGTCCTTGGTTTGTGTGGACCGTCTGCTGAGGCCTCCCCGTGACCAAATGTCACATGCTTCCCTCCTTTCAACCACGTGAAGGGCTTCCAGGCACGCATCCGCTTGTCCATCAAGTCTGTGTCCAAGTCGGAGTCACGTGTTAAGATTGCTCCAGGTGTGGTAGTTTGAATTTAATTGGCCCCATCAGCTCATAGGGAGTGGCACTATCCGGAGCTGTGGTCTGGCTGAAGTAGGTGTGGCCTTGTTGGAGGAAGTGTGTTACTGAGGGGGTGGGTTCCGAGGTCTCCTATGCTCAAGCTATGCCTAGTTCAGTTAGTGCTGCCTGAACAAGATATAAAACTCCAGCACCACGTCTGTCTGCATAGCACCATGCCTCACCATGATGATAATGGACCGACCCTCTAAACTGTAAGCCACCCAACTAAATGCCTTTATAAGAGTTTCTGTGGTCATGGTGTCTCTTCACAGGAACAAAAACCCTGGCTAAGACGATAGGTGAGCGTTATCCTTGGTAATCTTTTAAAGCACCCTGACATGGTTGGATATTGGGACTCAGAAAAGTCGCGGCCTAATCACTCTGCTTTGTAAAGTCTTCGGGGTGTGGGCTTCACAGCCACGAAGCAGTGGAAGGCAAGGCTGTTAACTGGGGAGAAAGCAAGAAAACAAGGATACTTTGATTATGTTTGTGAGGGCCAAGTGGTGTGATTGGACAATTACAAATGTGCCTGTAAGCAGCATACGTGTGTACTAATGTGCATGCGGTATGATGAGTACACGGTACTGTGATATGACATAGTGAACATGAGGTCCGTGTGCATGCTCTGATGCTGTGCACTTGATGGAACATTCCTATGCTATAATGTACTTATGGACCGTGTGTGTACGGGGTGAGGTGTACCTGATACGTTGCTTTAATGTGGTGTGGTCTGATGTGTATATGATGTGGGGTGTGGTGCAGCATGTCTACCATAGAACATGTATGTTGTGTGAGGTCCTTATGATATGAGGTATATATGATGCAGTATACATGGCATGAGGTGTGTGCATACAATGAGGTGTTTGTGATGGAGTATGTATGAAAACACAGTATATATGAAAACACACCCAAGATGGTCAACACTGTAAGGTACATTGAGGTGATGTATACATGGTATGGGGAATGCAGGAGGTGTGTGCACATAGCATGAGATGTGTGTGGCCTAGGGAACATGGAGGCAACATGTGTATCATTTGCTTAATGCGCAGGTGCCATAGCACGCACATTGTGTAGGGTACATGTGTTGGAAGGTGCATTTGATGCAACATGGCACACCACACCTATGAGGTGGTCTCATGTAATGTGACCTGTATACCACATAGGGTGCAGATGTCGGTGTGTTTCACACTGTATTGTGTGCACATGATGTCACCTGCATGTGTGGTCAGGTGTGTGTTGTGGCATGGCATATAAAAGGATGTGTAAGGTACATTGTGCTGAGTGTAACCTGCTGTGATGTGCAGTGCCCATGGTGAGGATGGCGGACTTCTGCCCATGCGAGCCCACCTTCTTTCTTCTGGCGTACCTGCCTCTCTCTGTGGGATGTAAGATCTCTGAGACATAAGGACTCGTCTGCGGTCGGTGACGTAAGACATGCATGGAGTGACGCATGCGCGGTAAAGAGCTGGTGGCTCTCTGCCCACCTCAAGCCTACCCCTTCCACTTCCTTACCTGCGTCTCTCTGTTCCTTTGCTCCTACTCAGGAGGGAATCTCTCCAAACAAGACTGGATCATCCAGTGGCCCACCACGGAGCCAGGGCAGGACAACAACCCTGTGTGCCCCCCAGAGCCCAGCTCGTGGATCCGCACCCCCCTCTCCCAGAGCCCCAGGGTCCAGTCCAAATGTGTCCAGCCCTTCTGTCACAGCAGCCCTACGCCTGGAGCCCCCGTGTACACCCACGTGGACAGACTCACTGTGGATGCCTATCAGAGCTTGTGTCCGCCGCCACTTCTGGAATCAGGCCACCGCTCCTTGCCCCCGTCACCCCGGCAGCGGCACGCAGTTCGCACCCCACCTCGCACCCCCAATATCGTCACCACCGTGACCCCTCCTGGCACACCACCCATGAGGAGAAAAAACAAGCTGAAGCCTCCAGGGACGCCACCACCCTCCTCTCGGAAACTTATCCATCTGATCCCCGGCTTCACGGCGCTGCACAGGAGTAAATCCCATGAGTTCCAGCTCGGGAACCGTGTAGATGAGGCCAACACGCCCAAGTGAGTGGGGTCAGTGGGTGCTCGAGGGTGGCTGAACCCCAGGAACGGCTTCTCTGGGAAAGTCAGAAGCAAACAGTCTTGTGTCTGTGGGTCTGGTTAAGGGAAGGTGTCTTTGCGCTTTGTGTTCTGAGAAAGTAGGTTGGGTGGATTTTCTAGAGCTGGCAGTTACTCTATCCACGATGGCCTTTAATATTTCTGAACGTTGGTAGGGCATATCACGACTTGGGGCTAAATTTAAGCTGTGGCCCGTTTTAGTAGATAAGACTCACTGGGACACAGCCGAACCACCCCTTTAGTGTTGTCTGGGAGTTCTTTTGGGGAACAGTGGCAGCACTGGGTATGGCCCACCGAATCAGAAATACTTATCCTCTGGATAGAGGCAGGAGAAGTTTGTGGTCCCCTGAAGGGTGACCCTCCTGCTGGCCCTAGAAAGAGGGGAAAGTTACATGGTGGCCTCGAAGTATCCAGTAGACATATTAAAATGAGTTACAAAAATAAGCTGTACAACTCAACCAAAATAATTATCATCCCAATGTAGCGTCAATGTAAAATGTGGTTATTTAGGGATTCTTTGTTCTTTATGAGGTCTTTGACATCCAGGCTCCTTTTGGGTGAGGGTGGGAGGGAGCCGAGGGGAGTGGGCAGATGGCCTTGTGGATATGGGGGCTGGGCACATGACAGAGAGCATTAGGAAGGACAACATCACTCATGACCGAGACGACCACTCAGCAGGCGTGTGAGCCTGTGAGGCGGGACCTCTCCGTACGGGGAAATAGTCTCCAGCTGTCGGAGAGAGGCCATTCTGATGTCTGCTATGACATAATGGAGTTGAGTCTATAGACAGGAAGTAGAATTGGTAGACTGGAGTTAGAGAGAGAGAAACGAGGTGCTATTATTCAATGGGTACAAAATTTGGGATGAGGAAATTCTCTGGTGATGGTTGGTGGTGTCATTACACAACCTGTGAAGCTATTTAACACCTTTGAGATGATGTTGAAAACTGCTTCAGATAAATAATTTTAATGTTAAGTGCATTTTGCCACAAACAAGAGAGTCCAGCTCCTGTTATCCAGGAAGCCACAAACTGTGTAGGTCCAGACAATCAATATAGTATTTTGGCTGTGCCAGGTGCATGGGTTTGTGTCGTCATTGCTCGACAACCAAAAAAGCTCGTCCACAGGAGGTAAGCAAATGTTCATGGCCATGCTCCAATAAAACTTTATCTATAAAAACAGTTTCCAGCTGGCCTTGGATGTAGTCTGTCTTAAGCCCTGGTAGGAACGTCATCTCCCTTTGGAGAAGCCATGTAGGAGAGGGTCCCATTGTAGGAAGACACTCCAGCAGCTGGGAACCCTACCTTGGAGACAAATCCCTTGATCGAAGTCAGATGTTGAAGCAAGTGAAAAAGGCTTTTCTCGTGAGAATTTGAGTTGATGCTCATGCTTTCCTGAGATTCAGAGAGATCAGGGCCTGGAGACCCGAGGTGAGGAGGTAGAAGGAGTCCCGGGAAGGCTGGTGGAGAGATTGCCAGAAGGAAAGTGGGGTGGGGGTGGGGAGGCTGGTCTGCCTCTCACCATCCCTGTGTGAACCTGGAAGTGACTTCACTCATCAGCCTGCAGAGTTTCTGGACCTATGATTTTTTTTAAGAAGTATTTTTTAGTTTTTGAAATTAAAATATAAATCACAGCATTTTCTCCCAATCGTCCCGTGCACCCCTCCCCTTGCTCTAATCTAAGTTCATGGCATCTATTTC